CGCTACGGTGTCTTTGCTCACCAACGTAAACAGAGTTTCCTTTCTACACCTCGGGCCCTACGGTCTTAACAAACGAAAGGGTCGGAACACATAAACCCCTTTTCACACATAAAAAGGGAGGAAAAACAAACTTGATCAAACGAAACAAAATGGTAAGTTTGTTCGATAGTACAGAAGGGTCGGAGCTTGTCCACTTGTTACATGAATGATTACCCAACCTATCTGACTAACTAACCCCTCCGGGGGAGAACTATGCTCTCTATCCTGTCTGCCAGGTCTACGAAAGGGGAGCCACCGCCATCTCCATCTCCTCCAGCTCATGGGCTTCATAGCCAGGCGCGAAGCTGAGGCTCATTGTCTCTAGGTCGATGTTGTCCCTATAATGAGAACGAGCAATCACGAATGATTGGTTGACCCCAGTGCGAAGGGCATTCCTCTCAAGCTAGAGCACTCGCGCAGTGATCACGACGGCACGGGCCGTGAGTGAACTGGTCCCCTCTGACCGCACCACCTCTAGGTCATCATAGGCCACTCCGAGGGCGGCGCTCAGGATACCAAGCTCATTGCTCTTTGCCTAAAGGTTCCTCCTTGCCTCGGCGAGGTCCACGACTAGCTCGGTAGAGACGCTCTCGACCTCCAGCCTCTGGGTCATCACGGTTCTAAGCTTGGCCTAGAGGGAGCCGACCTTTTGCTGCCCATCGTCATGCTCTCGGAGGGCCTGGTCGTGCTCCTCGCGAGCCACACCACGCTCCGAGCGGAGCCTCTCTATGGTTTGGAGCAGCTCGTCCCGCTCCTTGCGTAGTCGGGTGACCACCGTGGCATCCAGACTCGCCCTCTTCTCTAGGGCCACGAGCTTCTCCTTGGCTCCTAGCTTTAGCTCCCGCTCCTTCTCAACCTCGACCAAAAGGTTGAGGATCCACCGACAGGTCTCGGCATCCTTCTGGAGTAGCTCGTCCCGCTACCTCTTGACCTTGGTGGTATCCTCATTGTCCTTCCATGATCTCGCCGATAGGGCCTCGAACGCCCTCTCAGCCTCGTCCGCATGCCGACAGGCCTCAGCCACCCGCGACTGGAGACTGTCCGCCTCCTCGACAAGGGGAGTCAGCTCAGCCACCCTCTGTTGGGTGGCAACAAGGTGGGCAGTCACCTCCCCGCGTAGTCGCGCCTCCTCGACGAGGCGGTCCCAGTTTTCCTTCTGCTCACGAAGGAACCGAGATTTCCCCCGACTGCGAGCGATAAGGGACTAAAAGGAGATGATGGTCAGAACAAAAAAAATACATAAAGAAAGAAAAGGGCGAGAGGCAGGATCAAGCGAATACCCAGCTAGAGGGAACGACGACATCGAGCAAGGCACCCCTGGCGTGGTCCAAGGCTTCCAGCACGAACGTGATCCTCATGTCGAGGCTCTCCTGCTCCATGCTCTCGGCGACATCGTTGAGGGTGAAGAGCGTCGATGTCGGCTCCTGCGGATTTGTCCATCGGAGCAGGGGCTCGCCCCACGTGGGCGAGTCGCTGCCTACCGACGTCAAGGCCAGGGATGATTCCCCGCCGATCCTCTCTGCCACCACCACGACGTTCGGGGACCCCTTGGCCGCGTCCCCCTCCGTCCGACCCACGCCAGGCACTGTCGCTTGGGCCGTCGGTGGTGCGGGTCGCACCGCTGCCTTGGGTGCCGCCACAGTTGTGTTCGGCTCTGGTCCGCCAGTCATAGCCGCCGCGACCTCTGCCTGCATCAGCGGGGTCTTGACCGGCTACGTCGCACCCGCCACGGTCGGCACCATGAGCGCGGTCGGTAGCCCCGTCCACCCCGTCGGTGGCGGCGGTATCGCCTCCATCGCTGGCTGCTCCAAACCCCTTGAGCCCACGCACCCGCTTGTCCCGACGAGGGCACGGGCGCCACCGTGGGCGGCACCGGACCGGCCGGCGATGTAGTCACACCAACACCGTTCCCACTCAAAATGGGTGCGACGCCAGCCGACGGCTGCCACCTCGCTTGAAGGGCGACGCTCTTCTTTGGTGCCAGCGCCAAAGGATTATGTCGTCTCACAACGCTACAAGAAACGAAAAGCATAAGTCACGATAAAATCCGACCAAAATAGGGGAAAACAGTGGAGCTGATGACTCACCTCGGTGCTGTCGGGCGACAGATATGTTTGGGAGGTGAACCCCCAAACCTCTACTCTGCCTCATTGGGGCGAGGCCGTTTTGAGCCCGCCCCCTGCTCCTGGGCAGAGGGGCTCACTCCCCTTGGATCTTGGGGCACGACGGCGGAGCCACCCGCCTCCGCTGGCACCTCGGGTGCGGCGATAGAGCCGCCCACCCCTATTGGCCCTTGGGACAGACCGATGGTCCAGCCCATCTCTGCCAGCTCCCCAGACGTGCCCTCCCCTCCATGAAACGGGGAGGGTGCTGACCCTTGCAAGGACGAACCGATACCTGTTAGCACATCCTCGTTCTCTAGGTCATCCCACTCGATGTCGTCAACTACCTCGTCGTTGTCTCCATCATCATCGTCGTCATCGCTGTCGGTGTCCTCCCCTCGCTCTCGCGCTTGCAGCTTCCGCTGCTTCTTCTTCCTCTTGTCCTCCTTCGCCTTCCTCAGCCGCTCGCCCTCGGCGCGATTCGCCACCCTCATGGACGAATCCCTCGGCAATGGGGCTAGATGATCCGTGAGGATGAGTTCCCTCGGCTGGTCCCACCCCTCAAGGTTAGTATCAAGAGGTCGGGAAATCAATTAAAGAGGAGGCATGAGGAGGGGAAACTTATGAAGATGACGTAGCCTGGTTCCGGCCGCATCGGAGGATGCCCCGGCACCGGGTACATGAAATTGAGGGGGTGACTACGCCGTCCCGTGAGGGCTCCATTGCCTCCTTGATGCGTTGCGCGATCTCGAAGTTGGGAAGCACCCCCTCGGCGAGCGCCGTTCCGTCGAATGACGCCTCAGGCGCCATCGCATACAGCGGGAGCGCTCGTGTCATTAGCGGCGCCACCCTCCTCGCGTGGTAGGCCCCGATGATACCCAATCCCTTTAGGCCGCTCTCCTTCAAGATCTGGATGGCGGTGATGTGGTCCTGAATCTTCCTCTTGTCCTTCTCTAGGACACCCCACTTCCTCCATGACTCCGAGGCCTCTTCGATTAGGCGCCCGGTGAACTTCGGCAGAGAGGCGGCGGCGTCATTCTTGAGGTAGAACCACTGCGAATGCCACCCCTTGTTGGACGTTGACAGCCGCATCGACGGGTACTCGCCGACCCGGTTGTTCCGGAGGTGGATGCCGACGCACCCCATCAGCATGTGCAGCTCTTGCCTGCCGCTCTTCTCCCTCTTCTTCTAGAGGGTGACGGCGAAGAAGTGCCTCCACAGATTAAAGTGGGGACTAATCCCCAGGAATCCCTCACACGGGGTGACGAACGCCGTCATATGCTGGATCCTGTTGGGATTGAGGTGCTGCAGCTCGATCTTGTAGTAATGCAGCAACCCCCGAAGAAATCTGTGGGCGGGGGTCGCGAACCCACACTCATGAAAGTGGGCGAACAACACCACATAGCCGTTGGGAGAAGACGACAACTCCTCCTCGCCGGGCAGCAGCCACTCCTCGGCCGAGGCCGCGCACGGAAAAGACCGCGACGGACGAGACCTTCCATGCGCTGGAAGGTGATGTCAGAGCGGCACCACGGATCCATTGGAGGTGGGGGCAGTTGGATGCGAGCTCGACGGCGGCGGGGATGCGGAGACGGGGAACCCTAGGCGATTGGTGGCGGCGGTCGTGGCTCTGGAGGCAAGGATGCAAGGTATCGAACCCTGGGGGCGAACCCTTTGGTTTTATAGGGGCGACGGATGCGAGGAAACCAACCGTCCACCTAGATCTCCGCGCCAGCCACGATACACCACAATGTCCCGTGGCGAGAAGTGCGCACGCAATCCCTATCCGTTCCCTCGGAAAACTCGCCAGACGTTTCGCCTCTCCAGGCGGGCCACGACTCGTCACAAGTAAGAGGAACACGGATCAAAAAATACCTCTACGACCCGTCTGGGCCCAGGAGTTTAAAGGTTGGTCCATCAACGGGTTCGACAATTGCTCCAAGCACCCTTAGGATAAGGGATGGGCCCGCAAGCGTCCAGTACCCAGGCGCACGAGCGCCACGGGCATCCCGCCCGCAATCGAATCTCAGCTGGGTACGATCCATGGTTTCTTCCTGAAGGAAGGCGGAGAGCCCCCAGGACCGGTCGAACGGACCCAAAAACTATGTGGATTGACCGCTGAGAATATAAAGTCGGTCGCCAAACTGGCCCAAGCCAGATCCCCGTGAATGGGATGCCGGGACCCCAGGTCGAACTAGCCAACTAACAAAACCACCAAATCTCACGGCCATACCCGCGAAGAGTCCGACCTCTACAAGAGGGAATCACTGTCCCCAGGACATGCTGTGGGCAACAAAAGAAGGACAGGGCCCTCGGAGTCCTCCCTTTTGGAAAAACCTTCGAAGGAGTATTCTACTCCTCCGCAGGCTCGGGGGCTACTGTTGGGGACCAATATTAGGGTACCCAAAGAGGATGGGCTAATAACCGTCAACGTTGATCCATTCGAACGGTCAAGAGCACGACTACAGCTCTTGCCGACCCCCAGATACGCAAGCTCCGCCTCACCCGACAACATTTATCCTACAGTATGGCCATATATGGTCAGACGAACTACTTGCAAGCAAAATAGAAGACGAAGGGGACCCTGAGATCTGGCCAGAAAAACTGGCCAGTGTACAGATCAATTCATGCAATAAATTGAAGTTCAGTCTGGCAAGAACACTGTGTGTGCAAGAACTAAGATACCTTTGCACAAACTTGGAGCTTTCAAATTGTTACAGTGAACGATCTGTTCAACAATATGTTCTGGCAAGAACCAAATGCATCCTCTGTACAGTTTCTAGTTCATTCGGGCTGTATAATGTGCCTAAGGGAAATTCTTCCTCAGGTTTATGTGGGCTGCTTAAGAAACCTGAAAACATGAACCTTCTTGAGTTGCTGATTGTTGACGAGGCTGCACAGCTCAAAGAATGTGAAACCTTAATTCCGTTGCAGCTGCCTGGTATAAAGCAGGCTATTTTCATCGGAGACGAATATCAGCTTCCAGCTCTTGTGAAGAGCAAAGTAAGCTCCTTCAATTCAGTATTCTTATTTGGCATTTTATTCTTGGCTCTAGAGTATTGACTTGTAATATGATTTTTGTAGATATCTGACAGTGCTAACTTCGGGCGAAGTATTTTTGAGAGATTAAGTTCATTGGGCTACAGTAAACATCTTCTGAATGTCCAGTATAGGATGCATCCAGAAATAAGCAAGTTTCCAGTTGCCACATTTTATGATGGCAAGATATCTGATGGCCCAAATGTCACTCATATGAACTATAGCAAGAGTTTTTTAGCAGGAAAATGGTTTGGTCCATATTCATTTATAAATGTAGATAGCGGGCATGAAACCACTGAAAAGAATGGCCGGAGCCTCAAAAACACAATAGAAGCTGCTGTCGTTGTGCGGATGGTGCAGAGATTGTTCAAAGGTGAAGTCTAAGCCACTATGAATATTGCTCTTTTAGTTGTAGTGCTGTACTTCTTGCTATGATAATTATGATGTTCTTTGATTTAAATTCAGTCTCAAGGGTGAACATTAGGAGCCTAAGCTTATTTTTTCTTCTTTTTTATTGATTGCAGAGTCAGTTTCTACTGGAACCAAGCTCTCTGTTGGTGTTGTTTCCCCATACAATGCTCAAGTTAGAGCTATCCAGGAAAAGCTTGGGAAAACCTACAGTACGTATGATGGTTTCTCAGTGAAAGTAAAATCTGTGGATGGTTTCCAAGGTGCGGAGGAAGATATCATTATCATATCAACAGTCAGGAGCAATGGAGCCGGTTCAGTTGGGTTTCTTTCAAACTTACAGAGGACAAATGTGGCTCTGACAAGGGCCAAGTAAGCTCCTTGCTTGTACCATGCATGACCATCTTGTGCTAGTTCCTAATCATAATTCTAAGAGTGCATGCATGATGAGGTAAAGATGTTCAAATATTTTTTCTTCTTTGTTCGCAGGTACTGTTTATGGATAGTGGGGGGGAACGGGACAACTTTGTTCAGCAGCAGTTCTGTTTGGCAGAAAATTATCAAGGACGTACAGGATAGAGGATGCTTTTTTGACGTCAGTGATGACAAAGATTTGTCAAATGCAGTAATAAAGGCCACAATCGAGCTGGATGATGCTGACAATTCAGTGAAAATGGAATCGCTGCATATTAGCAGGCCCAGGTTTCAGGTACTTAAATTGCCCTCCTAAAATTCATGTCTGGTGCTATGGTTATCAGATGAAAACTAAAGGTGTTCCATCTTGCATCATATCAAATTTATTGACAAGAATATTAGTCAGCTGTCAGTAGATGTTAAGACTTTTGTTTGCGTGATTTGCAGAAAACAAGGCCAAAATACAGTCCATGAGACGCCCGGATCTCCCAAGGTGCAAGTGCAGTGGCGTAGCTATGCCGGGTATGCACCGGCATGCCCTGCAAACCTGGCTAGTAGTATATATATTATTATATTGTATATATGTTGTATTTGTTAAAAAGAAAAAAAAAGAAAAAAAACATACATGGACACCATCACGTGATGACGGGAGGCCCATATCATGCACTGACGTGGCCATGTGGCAAGGGAACTCCAATTCTCCAACGTCCAAACGTCCGGTATGTGCACTCCGTATACGACCCTTCGAATTTCCTAATCTAATCTCGATAAGACGGGGAGCCATGGAGGGACACGTGCGTCACCGCCTGACATGTGAGTTGTGACGCCCTGGCCGGCCGCGGCCCCTAGTGCCCTGCCGCCCTCCGCCATGCTCTAAATGCTGGATCGGAGGATCGCCGTCTAATTCACACGTCCTGTCTGCATAATATATGGTTGCGCCGATCAGGACTTATCGTCTTGATTCACTATTTTGGTTAGGTAAATTTTGATCTTTGCTCTTCATGTTTTTTAGAAAATTATTTTCTATATTCATAGCTATTTGGTAACATTCATAGCGAGTTGAACCTTCTAATCCTCCACCCGATCAGGTTGAACCAGTGGTGGAAGACCGGTGGTTGATCTGGTTGATGAAGAAGATACAGTAAGACATTCATATTCCTTGAAAAACGTCGAATAAAACAATCTAAAAATAGCATTGTAAGCCTCTGGTACTCTTTTATGCCTATATTTAAACTATCAGTATGGCTTTTGAACTATTTATATTGTATTTAGTAGATGGTTTCAACTTAATCCTTGAATTTAAGCCTTATCATGTTACTTAGTGCATGTATATCAAATCACGTTGTAAAATTTACAATTGTTACTGAATTACTAAATTAGATTTACCAAATTGTATATGATTCTTTTTTGACGGCATAAGTTAAAATCCTAGATTCGCCACTGTGCAAGTGCAATGTCTTTTGAATACATCATGTAGGTGTAATGGTTTTGCTATGCAGACCCGAGATGAGGCTCCATCTAGATGCTGTGTGGGAACTGTGAAGCACAGTATTTTGTTTAGCAATTTGAGCTCTATGCACACTGGTTTCCCGCAACCCCCTAATTGTAGTGGTTTGTTTGCTGGATGTTTTAATAGTTTTATCATTGTTCCGTTTGGAAACAATATTTGGTTGTGTTTGTGAACCTCTTCAACTATATCAGCGCAGTCGTGTTCCTCCTGATGAAAAGCTCATGCGTCTTCTCTTCTATATATTTCTCCTTTGGCAGCTTGCTCTAAAACTAAAGGGAAAGTTGCAGTTGGTGTTACATGTCATACACTGCTCAAGTTTTGTCAAAAAAAAATAAAAAAAAAAACTGGTGAAAATGAAATTTGACAAGGTGCTGGTAACAGCCAATTCTGTCGACGGCTTTCAAGGTTGTGAGGAAGACGTAACCATTTACTCAACTGGAAAATGCAACGACCTTATGAAGCAGTGGTTCTATCTGGGCAGATCTAGTTTGCAATAGGAAGGATCAATGGTGTTTCTTCATGAAGGGCGAGTATCATATCGACAAGGCTATCATCTCGCATGCAGGGGCGTCAATTCCTAGTCTCCTTTAAAAAAATCATATATTCGTAAGAAAATGACAGGAGGAAAAGAAGCTAAAGAGATCGGATCTAGGTTCCACTTGCCATCTTTTTCTTGTACGTTGCATTTTTTTGAATGCCACTTTTAGTCCTTGACAGCATTATGATAACTTAGCCACTAAGAAGACACACTGCTGGCAGATTCTATACGACGACTTAGCTTGACCCCGGAGACTCCGCAAACTTTGTTGTTTTTTTTTTCCGTCGATATTTGATCGTTATTTGTTGTTTTTGGCCCGTGTTTGCTGTCTTATTTCGTCGAATGCGGTGACTTGGGTGTCAGTTTAGTTCCATTCGAACCTCTTGGACTATCCGAGCTTATAGCAATCAAAAGGAGGCGTGCGTGTCGGCATAGCAAGCGAGGAAAAAGACTTGTAACCCGGTATAGTCATTGGGATTTGTTAGTACGAGAGCAGGTTACGCTCACTTCGGCTTTTATTTGCCCAATCCTGCCCCCCTGCTTTTTTCTACCCGACCTCACTCTTCTCTTTTGACTAATCATCAAGGCCGCGCGGTGTGCAGGCAGGCGTGCTGGTCCATAGCCGCCACCCACATTCTTGCGCGCTTGGCAAGCTAGGCTTCACGCTGCCGTTGCGGCCGACGGTGCCGCGCCTCAGAGATGATCGGACGAGGACGGGGTAGCGGCAGCCGCGGTGGCAGCCGCATGTACCAAAGGAAGGACGCGGGGGAGGAGTGGCCGAACCTCGTAGACGTGGTGCTGTCCTGGAGACTCACGGATGTCATGAACGAGGATCTCTTCAAGGACAAGGTTGGTGCGACTCACACTGATTTGCTTGATGAGTTCTTTGCTGGTCACAAGGTCGTCACTTCAATCTAGGAGTATACCTTGAGTGTTGACTGAGGAATTTGACTATGATCATTTCGGTTAAAAGTGAGAACTTTGATTTTTCACCAGTTCAAATTGCTCTCAACGCTACTGTCAGTTTGTCACACTTCTGTGTTTCCCTTACAGCACGATTCTTTAACATGCATGGTATTTTCAGTTGTTTCAAACATATATATTGAGTCCAACAAAAGAGCTGTGTTCTTAAGTATGATCTGCAGCTGGTTGCTTAACAGGCATGTTGTGGCTTCGAATGCAGGTGAAGAAGATACCGTCGACATTCCCTCACCTCAAGAGCTACCTGGAGTGCTACACCTCTCCATTGCTGGAGGAGCTGAGAGCTGAGATGTCGTCCAGCTTGGAATCCATATCAACCGTGCCTTCTGTCAGGATATCACGGATTGAAGAAAAGAAAGATAGATACGAAATTTCTGTGGCTTCTGATTGCCAGGTTGCTAAGCCATGTAATCACCCTGAATGTTATGCTCCAAGTGTTGGTGATATAATTGTCTTGTCCGATGTGAAGCCGGGCCATATTTCTGATATTACTCGCAACGGAAGGCCATACCGAGTTGCCTTCGTCACAGATGGAGGGGATGAAGATGACGACTCACCACCGGCTAAGTACGCGATCATAGCGTCAGGCAAAATCGATGCTGCCGATGGCGGATGTCAAGATGGTAAAAGTGCCTCACTTTTTGCTGCTTGTCTCCTCAACATTGTGACATACATCCGAATATGGCGTTGCCTTGACTATGAAGCAGCTGTCCGAAGAAACCAAGGCCTTATACAGAAGATGGTACAGTATCAGCCGGTAGGTTTACCCTCAATCCTACTTACATGATGAATTCATTATGCTATCTTGTCTGTATGATGATAAACTTACATATGACAGAGATCAAAGAATTGGGAAAATAGTCTTGAACTTATTACTAGATATCCATGTTTCCCTTTTTTGTTATAATATTTTATCATGGAAAGAAAAAAAATCTACTTTCAATGGACAATAAATCCAGCTGTATTCACATCATAATCCAAGTGGTTACTGAAAGATTTCCGGTGGCTATAATGACATGGGTAATCTGATTAGTTCCATCATCTGATCCCCACAGGTTCCAGATACTTGTCAGAAAAGCACAGAGGATGCTGGTTCAATTGACAGCGTGGAGATATGGACCAAGTTGTCTACAATGGACCTTAACACTTCTCAGAATGATGCTGTCCTGAATTCTATTTCCAAAATGCATTGCAAGAGCAGCACGTTTACCCTAATCTGGGGTCCTCCTGGCACAGGAAAGACAAAGACAATCAGTGTGCTGCTTTGGTTAATGAGAGAAATGAAACGCGGTACACTCGTATGTGCTCCAACAAACCTTGCCATTAAACAAGTTGCTTCACGTTTCTTGAAGTTGATCCAAGAGAATTCTGTTGATGCAAGGTGCTTGGGAGATGTTCTAATGATTGGCAACAAACAGCGCATGTGCGTTGATGGTGATCTCAAAGAGATATATTTACATGACCGTGTAAGGAAGCTTCTTGGCTGCTTTGCCCCATTAACTGGATGGAAACATCACCTGTCTTCCCTGTCTGATTTTTTTGAGAATGGCTACTCACAATACCTCCAACATCTACAAGACAATCAGGAAGGTGATACACCTTCTTTTTTCTCTTATAGCAGAAAAAGATTTGCCATTATTTATATGGACCTGAGAAGATGTTTCAAAGAATTATTGTTACATGTCCCGAAATCTAGTATTCTGGAAGTGAATTACAACAATATCCTTTCACTTCTTGAAATGCTTGAAGAGTTCAACCGCATGTTTGAGTGGAGGTATATTGGGGATGAAATTAAGGAAGTTTTCTTGTACAGTAATGACGAACCTGATCATACAAACTCGAGTGTAATCACTCTTGGCAAAACGAGGATAAAATGCCTTGAGAAACTGAACACTCTGTTAAGTTGCTTGAAACTTCCTCTAATATCCTCAAAGCGTACCATTCGTGATTTCTGCATTGAAAGTGCTTCCATAGTTTTCTGTACTGTATCTAGCTCCACAAAAGTAATTACTAACAAAAAGCTAGAGTTGCTTGTGGTTGATGAGTCTGCCCAGTTGAAAGAATGTGAAACACTGGTCCCTTTGCGTTTGTGGACCTTAAAGCATGCTGTTCTAATTGGTGATGAGTGCCAATTACCAGCAACAGTCAAAAGCAAGGTTGGTTAATTCTTGATGTACTTTTTCATGCTTTTCTCAGAGCTATTGATCTGGCAACTGTCGGATTTCCCATTTGTCTGTTAACATTTATATCGTGCCATTTAATTTCTGATCTCATTTTAGGTTTGCACGGATGCATTATTTGGAAGAAGCCTTTTCGAAAGGTTGAGTTCACTTGGGCATGAAAAGCATCTACTTAATATGCAATACAGAATGCATCCATCCATTAGTATTTTCCCAAACACTAGCTTTTATGAAGGGAGGATCTCAGATGCCCCTAGTGTCATGGGAAAAGAACACCAAATGATGTATCTTCCAGGTTCTATGTTTGGTCCTTACTCCTTTGTAAATATTGGACATGGAAGGGAGGAACGTGATGAACTTGGTCATAGCAAAAGAAACTTTGTCGAAGTTGTTGTCATTGAAGAAATATTGTACCGTCTCCGAAGAGGCACGTGCTCTCTGTTCACAAGTTATTTAGTTTTTTTTTTTGCGAGGACACAAGTTATTATATTTAGTTATGCATATGACATTTCAAATTCTGTTCTTTTTTAAAAGAAAATATCATCTAGCTTATTTTGCTTGTACCAAGGAACATGGAATGGTTTTCATAAGTTTTTATGACCTACATGCTACTTTATATCGATGGTTTAAAATTTATCCTAGATTATAAGGTATTTCAGATCGCTTAATCCCATCCTATGGCTTGTTTTTAAAATTCCATCCATGTATGCATGCCTTTTAAACACTGTCTTTTCCAAAATGACACATAATTGGTAGCCTACCTTACAAGAAAATTAAGCAAATTAGTAACCGAATTAACTAATTAGTGAGAGAAAGGTTAGTCTTTTGCCAGACTCTTTATTTTAAAACTAATTGGATACCTTGTATTTTAGGACCATGGAATACTAACTATGCGGGCTACGCAATTGCATGTCTAGTATGCTTTTCAACCCTAGTGAAGCTTAGAGTAGAAAGAGATAGGGACAACTTAATATATAGTACATATCTATTATATACTTAGTATGAACACTCCAATTTGTATTTAAGCTTGTTATATATTACTGTCGACGTATCTATAGTTGTAATCTACTTGTAATTGGAGTTTTGAAGGGTTGTAGGAGCAACAAAAGAAAAGGCAAAAAGGATATTCTGCCACCTAATTTACCTTACCTCTTATGGGTTATTATAATGCCATCATTAGTAGAGAACAGATCTTTGATCCTCGACCAAAATAGGCTCTAGTCCCGGTATTTTTTTTGCCCGGGACTAGAGAGATCTTTAGTCCCGGTTGGTGGATCCAACCGGGACTAAAGGTCTCTGCCCAACGGCTACTGCGCCAGACAGAGGTGGCAGGGACCTTTAGTCCCGGTTGGAGCCACCAACCGGGACTAAAGGTAGACTTTTACTCCCGGTTGGTGGCTCCAACCGGGAGTAAAGGTCTACTCCCGGGCCGTGGCTGCGCCGGGGGTTGGAAAGTTACCTTTAGTCCCGGTTGAAGCCACCAACCGGGACTAAAGGTCCCTTCTTTATATCCCGGCCGTCTCCTTCTTCCTCCCTGAGCCCGAGCTCAGCACATTTTGAAGCTCACTACACTAGTGTTCTTGCTTCCTCCCTCCATTGTTTCTCCATCCATTCTTCGATTCCTCCGTTGATTTCTTCGATTCCTCCGTCGATTCTTCAGTTGTAAAGGTTACCAATACCATACTCTCATTTTTCATCATTGGCTTATCTCATATTGTTCACTATATATATATTGTTTTTATGGTGTTTTTTTTATTTGTAAACAATTTGAGCTCAAAATAACTTATAGTTTGCATATTTGGACGAAGAAAGGTTAAAGTAGGTATTTAAAATTAGTATTCACTTTTTATATATAAAATGTCTAACATACATCCATTGACATAAGAACTTACTTCTTTCATAATTTCTTTATATGGTATATATCATTGTGCATGTTCCTAATATTTCTCCTTTGCCAGCTTGTTGTAAGACTAAAAAGAAAGTTACGGTTGGTGTCATATGCCCATACACTGCTCAAGTTCTAGCAATCCAAGGAAAAATAGGGAAAATGAAGTTCCACCCATTACAAGTAAAAGTTAATTCCGTTGATGGCTTTCAAGGTGGTGAAGAAGACATCATCATTTTATCAACTGTGAGGTCAAATTCGGTTGGGATGGTGGGTTTTCTTTCAAACACACAGCGGGCAAATGTGTGTTTGACACGAGCAAGGTATCTTCTTTCATATTAAAACTAACTATTAACAAGAAGTTTTTTTTTATTATCCATGCTCAATCTTATCTTTCTTTGATCTTCACGGCACATAACTTACGTTTGAAGAATATTTTATTACAGACATTGCCTTTGGATCCTAGGAAATGCAACAACTTTATCAAGCAGTGGATCTATTTGGGCTGATCTAGTTCGTGATGCAAAGGATCGGCGGTGTTTCTTCAATGCCAATAGCGACATTGCTATCTCTCGTGTGATTGCTAAGCAAAGGAGCGATCTCAACAGAGTTAATGTTAAAAAGGATATACATATCTCAAGTTCTAAAAACTGCAGGGTTTGGGTATTGTCTCTTTTCACAGCTGCTTATTATCTGGAATTAGTTTTTTCTATTAAATTGCTATATGCTCGTTTTCTAAGATACATCTGCTATTTTTACTGGATTTTTTGTTAACTCCATGGTTTATTTCTTGGAAATAATAGAAATTGCTAGCTTTCAAAGGATCAACAACGAGAGAACGAGGGTAGTGTACTAGTGTTATTTCATCTTAACTATCTGATAGATATTGCTGCTACAACCAGCAATATGGTTGGCCTAATTTATTGGGTTTCAAGCAACAAACCACTATTTACTAACAAGATCTAGATAATTCATTACATATTTTAGCTAAACGCACGGCAAATTCCCGTCCAAAAAACTTGTAATCATTTCAGCAAAAAGGAATGTATAGGAAAAATTGAAGATAATTGTTGAACGTTTCGATAACTCATAAATTTGATTTTCATTCAGGTTGAAATGCAATCCCCAAGTGACTTGAATGAACAGGGAACGTCTTCGACGAGTGTTTCACATTACGCTGGGAGCCCGTCAAGTGACATTGTTGTTGTTTCTGAATTCCAGCGTCCAGGCAATAAAAAAGAGGATGTTGAGGATATAACTGTTATACCCACCATTCCAAATAAAGAGGATGATAAGGATATCATTGCTATGCCCGTTGTTGTTGTTTCTGAATTCCAGCGTCCAAGCAATAAAAAAGAGGATGTTGAGGATATAACTGTTATACCCACCATTCCAAATAAAGAGGATGATAAGGATATCATTGCTATGCCCGTTATTCCAGATAAAGAGGATGTCGTTGATGACATCCCTATCCTCGCCATTCCTTGCGCCGTGTTGTGTAATCTAGCTACACGGTGTATGCGTTTGTTCCGATCTTAATCCTTTATGCCTCCCTATCTCTTTTTACTGCTAAGTTTGTATCATGATATATTGAGACATGTATAGGTGGGCTTTTTTTTGTGATCTGGCTTTGAATAAAGAGGAATGGTGTCTCTCAGTAACATGGTCGGTTGCTTGATTTTGTGATCTGGCTTTGAATAATGAAAATGTATAGGTGGGCTTTTTTTTAGCCTCCCTTGACTATTGAGAAAAAACTAGTCCCTTCAATCTGATTTATTCCCTCCGTGAAATACAAGGTATCCAGGAATTTTAGGACATATTATAAGATAAAACAAATAATGCATGTAACCCTCATTTAACTATAGAAAGATCTTATGTTTACCATATTTAAACCTGGTGGTAGACACTAATGGCAGGTATGCACGTGATTAGTGCTTTGAAGTGTTAATTAACATAGAATAACTTGTAATTTAGGATAACTTTTGAATCCGTTAATAGTTTATATTTCAGGGCAGAAGGAGTATTAGGTGGATCTATAGAATTGACAAGTGTGTTTAATAAGGCACTACTACCATTAATGCTTGGACAATCCCAAAGGCCCTCTTTGGTGTGGCTTTTGTAGGGGCTTAAACGAGCACACACGAGAATGAATTCTGAAACAAAAACAATAAAGTCGAAGTCGTTTTGGGCTAGAAACTAGAAAGCAAAGCCATCAAAACGTGGTTTTTTTGGCTTCTCTGTTTTTTCTTAGAGAAAACCGAGCCCTACCAAAGAGGGCCAAAAAATGAGATGGCCTTTTGCATTTGCATGTGTGTAAAATAATAATAAATTAAGCATTACATTTTTTTGAGCAACATAAATTAAGCATTACATGCAATTATTATCTCAACAATCATAGATATGATTTGCATGCATCCATGCAAAAGTTAGACAGGCCAACGGCCCAGATCTCGTCCGGGACAATCAATGTGGCCCAAGAATCCGAAGGGCCGCGCATGCACGACGATGCGGATAGCCGCGTAGAAAAGCGTGTCCGCGAAGCGGCCATTTTGCCCGTTCGTCTCACACGCGCTGCCTGCTAGGCTGCTAATGCCTGCCTATAAAGATGAGCAACGGGCCAGCACGGCCCGGCACGGCCCGAGCCCGGGCCAAGCACGGCCCGATCGGGCTCGGGCCCTTTTGGCCCGCCGGGCCACCGGGCCGTGCCTGAACAATCCACCGTGCTTGGTGGACGGCCCAGGCACGGTCCGTGGGCCAAATATCGGGCCGTGCCGGCCCGTTGAGCCCGTGGCCCACTGGTCCATTGGGCCAGCCCATAGCCCGTTACATAGTAAACACCATATTTCAAACAGCACAATCACATGTTCAAACTTCAAACAATCACAGGTTCACATATTCATATTCAACAATCACAGAAACACCAGATGACAAAAGATTTGAGCTGTTTGTGCAATACCGCCTCATTAAAAACCTTTCTAGGTAAAACTCACACCTCGTGAGATAAAACCCTAGAAAGGAAAAAGAGTACGGCCAGCTCAATAAATTAAAATGTTCAAATTGTTCAAAGTTATTACAAACCAGCTAGCTCAAATGTCTCAACTCTCACAACTAAAGTCGCACTCACAGCCTCTCAGGCTCTCAGCTCTCAGCAGTCAACCATCACCAGCAGTAGATGATCCACCAGCTCCATCATCAAGGTACTGCTCTTTGAAGTACTCTTCTAGCTCTTTGTCCTCCACAGTGTGCTGTCCACCGGATTCACCTAGCTCCCAGTCTTTGACACAGATTAGCATCTCCACGCTGTCCGCGCCCAATCGCCGTCGTCGCTCCTCAATGATCCTGCCAGTAAGACTAAAGGTAGACTCCGAAGAAGTAGTTGATACAGGAACAATCATAATATCTTTAGCCAAGGTACAGAGAACTGGATAGGTTAGTTTATGCTCATGCCATCAATTGAGGATATCAAAGTCATCATCATATGCCACAACACTGTCACTGTCAAGGTAAACAGTGAGCTCAGATAGACCAGGAGGCACAATAGATCCTGCAGATGCACTTGAAGGACCAGAAGAAACTGATCCTCCAAAAATTTTACCCTATGCCTGCTTTCTTTTACCTGTCAGTCCAGATGGATGGGTTGTTCTAGCTGGCCTAGCAGCACCAAACTTAGATTCATACTTGTCATAGAGTTTATGCAACTCAGATTTAACCTCAGCAAAATAATCAATGTAACTCATATTGTTACTTAGAGCAAGTCAAGCACATTTCCCAGACCTTTCAACTTAGCCCTTGGGTCCAGAATAAATGCAAAAGAGTATAACAGTGGTATATTCTTCCAATACTTAAGAATTTATTCTTCATTGGCACAACTATAGCAGCAAGAGTATTATCATGTTCAAATTCATGCAGATGGGATGCAATCTCAAGTATGTGATGTAGTACCAAAGGACTAGTGGGGTAACAAACACCAGAAAGTACAACAGTTGAATCATAGAACAACTCAAGGAACTGCAATACCTTGTCAGCAATGTACCAATGCTGTTCATTCAATAGAGGATAGCCAGACTGAGAATTGATGAACACAGAAAACACAGATCTATATGGCATGAGATGTTTTAGCATAAGGTAGGTTGAGTTCTATCTAACATCCATATCCAAAGCAAATTTACGAGGCCTCATACCCTTAGCAATGCATTAGTTTTTGAATTGTGCAATGCGATGATTAGATGAATTCAGAAAGTTAATTGCAGTCCTAAAAACCTCTATGTGTGGTTTAAGCCTTTTCAAACCAGATTTAACAATCAAATTAATTATATGGCAAGCACATCTCTGATGCACAACATGATAGATCTTTTTACTAGAATTCAATGGATCAATATCATAACCCAAGTAACCAGCAAGCAGAGGACTCAAAGTAAGCATAGCGGATGTATTAGCAGATGCATTATCAAGGCTAACAGAGAAAACTTTGTCAAGTAGGCCCCAATCTCCAAGCACACTAGCAATAATTTCAGCAATGTTAATACCACTATGAGTCACTTCAATCAGTTTAAAGCCAATAACAGCTTTCTTAAGTTCCCACTCATAAGTAATGTAGTGAGCAACAACAGTGATATAATCTTCTTTAGCATTGCCAGACCAGATATCAGATGTCAAACAAATAGAAGACACACCAGGCATTACTTCATTTTTTAGGTGATGCAATTTTTCATTGAAAAGCTTAGAAAGATCTCTAGATGTGGTGAATCTAAACACTCTCTTGTATCTAGGATTGTGAGCACGCTGAATGTAATCATCCCAAACATCATTGTCAGCAATAGATAAAGGCAAATCTAATCTAGCAATCAAACGTCAAAGCTCAGCTCTAGCAACATCAGGCCTATATTCCCAGTTCCTATAAGACCCATCAGGATTCAAAGCAAGCCTAGTTTGAACCAAATTAGCCTGTTCTGTTTTCTTCTTGCATGAGAGCATATGTCTTTTCAAATGACCAGTGCCATTAGCAGATTTACCAGACAAACGAGACTTACAGAGCTTACAAATAGCAACAACATGTACCTCACCGTCCACTGTCTCTATGATTTCATCAAAGTTAGCCCAGACAGGGGATCGGCGCTTACTAGTGGTGGACGAAGCCGAGAGATGTTTATATCGGTGGTGGCAGCAGCAATAGCTTATTTGATCGTCTCGGTTGGTCGGAGCAAAGACTCCTACCGAACAAGAGATGAGCAAGATATCCCATGTCGTCTTCGTCATCGGGGATCTGCCTGTGGCCCCCTGAGCTCGTCGTTGATGGTTGGACCATCGTCACCATCAGACTCGAGAGCCGACCATGGCGAGATGGCACCTGCAAACCCAAGCACTGTCCTCAACGTCTCCTGCGGCACTAGCTACACCTACACACCGCGACACGAGAACCAAAAACACCGAGAAATGGATTAGGGTTCGTGTGATTGCCTACTAGATCTAGGGTTAGGGTTAGGGTTAGAGGTACTTGCTCACATGGAGACGCGGACCGCCACCAAGAAATGGAAAAGAAGACGAAGACGAGACGGAGAAGAGGGGGGAGACAAAAGGAGATCCCAAGATCCGGTCAGAGAGGTAGGGAGGAAGAAGTGAGACGAGGAGGGGGAGAGATGAAAGAGGAGATCTCAACATCCGTCGTCGTGCGGTAGCTCAGGGAGGTGGTCGACGGTGGGCGGGGCGGGGGGCACCACGCAAGAGGCGGGCGAGTGAGGTGGGGATTAGGGTTAGGGTTTGAGCTCGGAGGCGAGGTGGCGGGCGAACGCACTCCTGGGCGGAGTGAGTGAGGGGAATAGCCGAAGGTGGGGGTCCGCTTAGGCAGCGGGGGGCTTATATAGCCCCCCCACCGCCGGCCTCTACCGGGCCGCCATTGTAAACAGGCCGTGCACCTCAAGCCCAGCCCGGCTGCTGCTGGGCTTTGGGCAGCAGGCCCGGTTAGGGTCGATGCCGCCTCGGTCGGGCCCCATAACTGATCTTTGGCCCACGGGCTGCATGCACATCGAGTCCTGCTCAAAAAAAAGAGTCCCTGCTCCGCCGCTGCTAGCGGCTGCCGGTCTGCGGCCGGAGGTTCCATCGATGTGTCCGGGAGATGACGGCGTGCTTGGTTGCACTCGCAACGGAGAACACGCTACCCCCGTGCTTTCCCAGGGGCAGGAAGGCCGACGTTGGCATTTGCCCCCGCCGTTTGTGCCGCCCATTCGATCCAAGTGGGTTTGTTGCATTGTGGATTATTGGGTTTACCTGAATAGCACCAGCTTCAGATAGAATCTTCAGGACCATGCTCCTTTTGCTTCTCATGTGTCGTGCGGTTAATTATCGTATAATCTGTCGGTGTATGGTAGAATTTGAAATTTTTTGTTTGTCTTAGTTCAATCTGTGGGGTAGTGGCTGTCTCATTGTTTCTGTTTTAAGGATTCCGTTGCACTCTAAATTGCAATCATTTGCGATCAATCACAGACATTGCACATGTATTTCGTCTATGAATCAACCGATCAACTAGTATTCTATCGAGACTTTGTTAATCATACCATTCTGTAAAGATTGCTGAGTTTGGCCGTATTGCTCACTTCACACCTGGTGTTGGGCTGGTTTTGCTAAACATTTACTTCTTGCAGGTCAAGAGGATACCAGACACATTTGTGTCATTTGAAAGTTATCTGGATTCATTTGCTGGCCCACTGATTGAAGAAGTACATGCTGATATTTTCTCATCACTGGCTGGTTATGCACAGGCAAACTTTACACAAGTAATCAAGGTGGAAAAGCTTGATGGCAAAAAATTTGAGAATCCAGTATTCAGTTTTCAGATTGCAGAGCCCGTGAAGGATGAGAAGTCAAGGGAGACATATGAACCGACAGAATGTGATATAATAGTCCTGTCCCCGCAAAAACCAAAGCACGTGTCTGATCTGACACAGAACAAGTCATCATATGTGTTAGGTTTGGTTCTCAAAAGTGGAGAAGAAGATGATTTCCCACCTAATTGTTGCATTGTTCAATTGTCATCTGATACTCCCATTGAGGTAGATGAAGAAATGAAAACACCTAAAGGACCACTGTTTGCTGTGTATATTATGAATATGACGACATACAATCGTATGTGGAAATGCCTTCATCTGGGAGAAAATGACGCTAATTCTCTTGGGCTTCGGAATAAAAAGAGTACTGAGCTTGTCGATAAGGTGTGGCAATACAACCCAAAGGTATGTATGTCAACTACATGCAAAATAATCCATATGTCTTTGTCTTGTTTTGCATCTTGTTTCTGTTCTAACAGTTTTTTTGTATGATAGTTTGGAAATTAGAACATAAAAAAATGCTTGTCTTGGATTATCGTGCCTGCCGGCATTTCCATGGCGGATTTTGCTCAGCATTACATACTTTTGCTAGTATTTCCATCATACAAAAACTGTTAGTACCCACAATTTTACTTTGTATCTGACATGGGATAACCTCCTTATGTTATTTATTATGATACAATAGTATGTAATAAACTACTCATTTCAAGACAGCTGACTTGTTTTGACTATTTTTCCATGAAGGTAGTGGAAGATGGTAGCTCCTCATGCTCCCAGTTATCTCAATGTGTTGCCCATAGATCAACCGATGGCCTTGGCCTTGAGAAGTTCAATCTCAATGCTTCACAACTAAATGCGGTAGCAGACTGTGTCTCATCCATGGATGACCACTCTTCTTCCATAAAGCTATTATGGGGTCCCCCTGGGACTGGTAAAACGAAAATTATCAGCACTATCTTGTGGGCGATGCTGATGAAGGGCCGAAAGACACTTGCCTGTGCACCTACCAATACTGCTGTGCTGGAGGTTGCTGCTCGAATTGTCAAGCTTGTTGGCAAGTCTGCTGATGGCAGCCTCTGCTTCCTAAACGACATTATTCTGTTTGGAAACAGAAATAATATGAAGATGGATGACGACAGTGATCTTTCATTGATATTTCTTGATTCTCGTGCTGAGCGCTTATTGCCGTGTTTTGTGCCAAACTCAGGCTGGAGGCATTGCTTGTGCTCACTTATAGATCTTATTGAGAATCGTGTGACCATGTACCAGTTGTACAGTGAGGGTAAAACTCTAATGCAATATTTGAAGGATGGGTACAACAAACATTCTAGGAAGTTATGTGGGTGCATTGAGATACTATACAATGATCATCCTAGAAATGCAGAAACAGGACGAAGCTTTCAATGTATGCTGGAGGTGCGTGAATTGATCGATATTATCCATGCTTTGATAAATGATGACAAGGATGATGTCCATGATATTTGGTCAGATGAACTACTGGAAATAAAAATAGAAGACAATGGGGACCCTCTGCTCTGGCCTGAGCAACTAGCCTGCATACGGATTACTTCATGCAAGAAATTGAAGTTTAGGCTGGCAAGATCTTTGTGTGTGCAAGAATTAAGTTATCTCCGCACAAATTTGGAGCTCCCGAATTGTTATAATACAAGAGCTGTTCAGCAATACCTACTGCCAAGAGCTAAATGCATTCTCTGTGCTGTTTCAAGCTCATTCAGGTTGTACAATGTCCCAATGGGTAATATATGCAGATTGCTTGAGAAGCCTCAAGACACAAATTCTCTGGAACTACTGATTGTTGATGAGGCTGCACAGCTCAAGGAGTGTGAGACTTTAATCCCTTTGCAGCTACCTGGCATAAGGCAAGCAGTTCTGATTGGAGATGAATACCAGCTTCCTGCCTCTGTGAAAAGCAATGTAAGCTCCTTCAAATTATCATTCCGATTTTCTGATTGGCACTGCTGCATTTTACTTATAATGCTATTATTTTGTAGATATCTGAAAGTGCTAGCTTCGGGAGAAGCGTTTTTCAGAGGCTAAGTTCTCTGGGCTTCAGTAAGCACCTTCTTAATGTACAGTACCGGATGCATCCTGAAATAAGCAATTTTCCAGTTGCTACATTTTACGATGGGAAGGTATCTGACGGCCCCAATGTCAGTCATAAGGACTATACCAAGAGGTTTTTAAGTGGAAAGTTGTTTGGACCATATTCATTTATCAATGTAGAAGGTGGACATGAAACAACTGAGAAGCATGGCCGAAGCCTGAAAAACACAATAGAAGTTGCTGCAGTTGTGCGGATGGTGCAAAGATTGTTCAAAGGTTAGGCCTGCCACACTGAACAGTGTTAACTACAGCAATTACTAAATAAATAAATCTGAAGTCTGAATCAGTGAGAGGTTAAGGTTAACTGCATCTAATCCCCCCCTCCATTATTTGCAGAGGCGGTTTCCAAAGGAATTAAGGTGTCTGTTGGCGTTGTATCCCCATACAATGCTCAAGTTAGAGCTATCCAGGAAAAGCTTGGGAAATCATATACTATGTACGATGGTTTCTCTGTGAATGTAAAATCTGTGGATGGTTTCCAAGGTGCAGAGGAAGATATCATTATCATATCAACAGTAAGGAGCAATGGAGCTGGTGCAGTTGGCTTTCTCACAAACTTACAGCGGACTAATGTGGCTCTGACAAGGGCAAAGTAAGTTTATTGCATACACGAAGGCTGATCATTTGGTGCTAGTTCCTATTATTTTGTGGCTTGAATCTGGAGAGTGCATGCACAATAAGGTAAAATGATAGTATCATTGAGTTTTTTTTCCCCTTTTACGCAGGCATTGCTTATGGATAGTGGGAAACGGGACAACTTTGTCCAGCAACAATTCTGTTTGGCAGAAGATGATCAAGAACGCGCACGATCGAGGGCTCTTCTTTGATGTCAATGATGACAAAGATTTGTCAAATGCAGTAGCCAAGGCTGTTATTGAGCTCGATGATGCTGAGAACTCAATGAATATGGAATCACTGCATATAAGTAGGCCGAGGTTCCAGGTATTTCAAATTGTCCCCCGGATCTTGTCTTGCAGGGAGATTAAAACTAAAGATGACAAATTTGGCTGTGCAAATACTATGGACCCGCTAGTTGACAAAAAATGCTGACAAAAACATGAGTCGCTAGGCATTAATATATATATTTTGGTTTATAATTTGCAGACCAGGCTGAAATACCGTCCATGAAAGATTTGGAGCTCCCCAGGTGTAATATCTTCTGCATGCTACTTGGATTTGTTATCCGGACTTGGATGAATTTTCATTTAGTATGTGTGGGAAGCACAATAGTTTGTTGGAGCTGGATGAGCACGTTTCCCCAAACCCTTAAATCCTGAATAGCCTGTCGGTCTTTATCATAGTAGTATTGTCAATGTAATGGTATGCTATGGTACGTTTAGTTAAGAATGCTGTATGACTAGGTTACTTGGTTGGATCATGATGATAATCTTAACAATGCACAGTAATTTGGTTGGGCTGATCTAGCACGCAATAGGATCCGCTGTGTTTCTTCGTGAATGCCAGCAGTGACAACTGACAAATCTAGATCACATGTGCAGGGACGTATCAGCCATGGTAATCTTATGCGCCCTGTTCTGTTTGGGCTGGTTTGGCTTATAAGCCATGGCTGAAAGTACTGTTGGCTGGTTTGGTGTAAGAGAAAAATACTGCTCGTTGGCTGATAAGCTATGGCTTATAAGCCAAATACGACCAAGCGAATAGGATGATGGTTGTGCAACTGCTCGTATAATCTCCTTTTAAAACTCACAGAACTACAGACGCAAAGCTAAAAAGATATGGATTCCACTTGCATCTTTTTATCTTTTGGAATGCTACTTGTATTTAGGGCCTGCTTGGATTAGTCCCTGGGAATCTTGCCTGGCGCAAGTGCGGCTCCCAGGCGTCCGATTTCGAGCGCCTGGGGCCAGGATGGCTGCCTGGGCGCGAGCTTGCCTGGGAGGCATCAATCTAAACAGGCCCTTAGTCCTTGATAATAGTATATGATAACTTAACCACTAAGAAAACTATGCTAGCAGATTTTAAACAACGACTTAGCAGGACCCGAGACTTTGACCCACCCACAAACTTGGATAGTTTTTGTAAAACGGAAATGCCTGGGGCAGGATGTTCGGACACATTGAGTTCCATTGCACGCTTTCATGCTTATTAGGGTTTTGGAACCCCGGCAACCTAAGAAGGGGGAGGGGACCGACAACGGTGGTCAGCTTGACGGTAGAGGCAGTTTGGTGGGCAGTGAGTGAGGCGGCAAGGGCGTTGCCGAACGGGCAGCAGAGGACATCCGACTGGCGGAGCTGGGGTGAAGGTTGTGTTGTTGTCGTTCAATTTCGGTTAGGGGAGGGCGGCGTGGTGTGGTAGGGGAGGTTGGTGGATGGTGTGGCCACTGGCTAGTAGCGCGGCTTCACTGGTCTGGGGTGGTGGCAGAGGTAGGCGGCGCCGGGGGAGTCGGGAGAGGTGCGGGTTAAGAAGGAAGAAAAATAGAAAAAGAAAGACCACATGTTTATCTAATATAGATTCAGCTTGGTTCAGGCGCTAGCAAGTCGTTTGAAAATATATTTGACCCCGAGACTTTGACCCATCGACAAACAATGACGTATGGAGCTCATTGAGCTCACCGGAAGGAAACCGAAGGCTACGTTGATTTACCAATTATCTCCAACTAGTAGGATTAAAGTGGATAGTTTGATTCTCATAATTTAATGTTCAAATTGTAAAAATCTCTCACTATAATTCACCTTTGGATCTTAGAGTGTATTTGGTAGAGATCTAGATGAATCCGAATTCTCTTAGTAAACAAACGTTTCGAGAGATGAATCGAAGTTACTTTATAAATTGTTTGACTGTTAGACTAGATTTTAATTCCCAAATAAATATTTTTATTAAAATAAAAACATATAAATAAATATATGCTTCAAAAAGTTTTAAATTTTTGTGACTGAAGAACAACTTATAACCAATTTTAACTTGTTGCACTAAAAATAATTTACTAAAGAAAAACCGTTTGCTAGCACAGAGAGGGGAGGCATGAAACAAATCCAGCGATTCTATAACTATCTCATTCTTATTCTTATAATCTGTTAGCTTTAAAGCTAGCACAGTAGCACAGGTCATTACTCGCGTGTCTCCATGGGGAAGTGGAACAGTCCTTTGAGGGAAACGAAGGAGGCAATGTCTCATTAATGGCTTCTCTGCCTCGTCCACCATTTAAAAGCTTTGCATCCTTTGTATCTCGACTCCAGTTGCCCCAGCAGCTTGTTCCTCCAGGTGAACGAAATGCCATTTCTGAAAAAAGAGAGGAGCAAGAAGAGTGATGGCGAGCACAAGGCTAGTGGCCTTAAGATGCGGATAAGGAAAGTGAATGGAATGAAGTGCATGATGAAATATTTGTCAAAGGTGAGGAAAGTTGACAAGAACCTCAGCAGGTTTGATCTCAGCTATCTAGAGAATCAAGTGTTCTCTTGGTCTGTCGATGACGTCTTCAACAGGGACCTCTTCCGGGAGAAGGTAACGACCAATTCTTGATAGTCTTGTGCCTCCTCTTTCTACTAATTAGTAACATCTTACAAATCGTGGATATTTGGTTAGGTTAAGAGAATCCCAGAGACATTTGCATCATCGAAGAGTTACTTCGGCTCATTTTACTACCCATTGATTGAAGAAGTGCATGCCGATTTGTTCTCAGCGTTGGATGGTTATGCCCATCAGAACTTTATACAAGTAACCCAAATGAGGAAGCTGCATGTTGCTGACAAAGTATACTTGTGCTTTAAGGTTGCTAGGCCAGCCGAGGATGATAGATCCAGGGAAACTTACGCACCCAGCCACTCGAAATGTGAAATCTTATATCTTAGATAAAATTGTTAAGGGAGGTGAGGATGATGATGATTTGCCACCTGACTGCTTCATTGCCAGACTGTCATCTGAACTTACTGTCGAAGCTGATCCTGTAACAAGAATACCAAAGGAACAACTGTTTGCAGTAGTTCTGGTAAACATGAAGACATACAACCGCATTTGGACTTGTCTTGACAAGGGAAATAATCGTCAGAAGAAAGTACCTCCTGCAGCAAATGAGAACCAAAATGTCTCGCATGTGTCTGACACTGTTGATATAGTATGGCAGTACAAGTCAAAGGTATACTCTTTCTCTCTTAGTCATGTGATGGACTCATTGAATTTAAGGCAGCATCCACAAATTCTCGATGGGCGGTAGGTTTTATGAATAGCACCTGTATTAATTTGAGATGGTGAGTGAGTTTCAGTAAAATGGAATGTGCTTGCGCTCTTGCATTTATATGTTTGCTAAACTATATGTATAGCAGTGAAATTACGATGTTCAGTATGGATGTAGACAATTTGTTCATTTACAGCACATTAAGAAACTAAGCATAAATTGTGTATAGTGAGTGTTCTTTTTGATGAAACAAAAGGGGTTTCCCCTACCGGTTGTGTATAGTGAATTTTTGAATCCCATGATAGTTGCATTTGAAACATGGAGGAGAATTTTCATTATATATGTGAAAGGCTTTTGTGCTAAAAAGAAGTCTTCTAAGACTTATTGGAACGTATTGAGTTTCGAACAAACTTGTAGTCATATCTAAAAGTATACAAAAGAAATGTTCTTTTGTCATACTCATTAGTGAATGCTATTCCTGATGACTGACCTGTTGCTGTATCTTTATGAAGGCGGTGAAATGGGATATGTCGAAAAGCTCCCAATCATCTCGGTGCTTCCCAGATCGATCTATTGATGATCTCGGCCTTGAGAACTTCATGCTTAACACGTCACAACTGAATGCTGTTGCAGATTGTGTTCCAGTAACAGGAAAGTTCTCTTCTTCCGTCAAACTAATATGGGGACCCCCTGGGACAGGAAAAACTAAAACTATTGGCACTCTGCTCTGGGCAATGCTGCTTTCAAAACATCGGACGCTTGCCTGTGCTCCTACAAACACTGCAGTACTAGGGGTTGCGTCTCGAATTGTCAAGCTCGTCCATGAGTTTTCTGGTAGCAGAGACATACACCTAAGTGACATTGTTTTGTTTGGAAACAAAAAGAGGATGAAGATAGATGAGGATCATGAACTTTCCACGGTATTCCTCAGCTCTCGCACTAGGCGTCTGTCAAAATGCTTCGCAAAGAAACCTTGGAGACTCTGCTTGTCGTCACTGCTACATTTTCTTGAAAAATCTGTAGCAGAACAACACCAGTTGTACACTGAAAGAATTCTTGCGAAAATGAAGGAAACAGAGAGAAAGAACCATGAGAAGAACAAAACTGAAGATTGTAGCGTTACTTCTTGCACTGAAGGTAAAGACCCAGAGGATATCTGTGATAATGTAGAAATAGAGCATGGTGATGATGAGTACTATGATAATGAAGAAGAATCGGAAGATGAAGAAGATTGCTATGAGAGTGAAGGAGTCAAATCTGACGATGCGGGTGACGGGTGTGATCCAGAACCTGCAGAACAAATGTTAGTAATATTGCCACTGAAAGAATACGTGAGAGCCACTTACAATGAACTCGCTGCAGATTTATTCAATTGCATGGAGGTACTGCAAACGGACTTTCCACGAAACCCAAGCATGGGCCAAAGCTTTCAATGCATGACTGATGTGGCTGAATTGCTGAACATTCTTCATACATATATAAACTCAGACGACGATGATGTATGGTTGGATGGACTGCTTGAAGGACAGATAAAGCAGGACAATGATCCTGCCAAGTGGCCGGATCTGCTAGCATCAGTGCACACAGAAGAGTGCTTAAAGTCGAAGTTTAGGAAGGCAAGATCACTCTGCATTCAAGAATTGCAGTACCTGAGTAAACACTTGGAGCTTCCCTTTTGGGCCAACTGCTTTCATTGCTCATATTATGACTACGAGCGAGATATCCGAATGTACCTGCTGCAAAAAGCCAGCTGCATTCTCTGTACTGTTTCTAGGTCTTTTTCCTTGTACAATGTGCCTGTGGACAAGGACACCTTTCTGTTGCAAATGTTGACTGTCGATGAAGCTGCCCAGCTGAAGGAGTGTGAGACCTTAATTCCTATGCTGTTACCTGGCATAAGGCAGGCTGTTTTTATCGGAGATGAATGCCAGTTACCGGCTCTGGTAAAAAGCAAAGTATGTCTCATGTCAATACTTTCTACTTTGTTTCCTTTGTTGTAAATCGTAATTCTGTAACTGAAAATTCTGCCTACTCTTTCAGATATCTGAGAATGCATACTTTGGAAGGAGTGTTTTTGAGAGGTTAAGTACCCTGGGCTACAATAAACATCTCCTCAGTGTTCAGTATAGGATGCACCCAGAGATAAGCAAGTTCCCTGTTGCCAATTTTTATGACAGCAAGGTGTCTGATGGTCCAAATGTTGTGTGCAAGAACTATGAGAGGAAATTCTTACCAGGCAAAATGTTTGGGTCATATTCATTTATAAATGTAGAAGGTGGGCATGAAACGACTGAAAAGCATGGTCAGAGCCTGAAAAATACTATAGAAGTCGCTGCTGTGCTGTGGATAGTAAAGCGATTATTCGAAGGTATGATCTTATGCGTTTCTGTAACTTTGATGCTTAGATTATTACTATTAGGAGTTTATATATACTGAGAAAGTGAGAATCAACGTTCATACAGTTACAAAGAATCTGAATTGCTTATACCTTGGTTGACCATGTGTTTCATCCTTTTTCTCTTTCTGTTCATTGCAGAGTCAGTATTTACAGGAACCAAGCTCTCTGTCGGTATTGTGTCACCATACAATGCACAAGTTAGAGCTATCCAAGAAAAACTGGGGGAGTCCTGTGATATGTATGACGGCTTCTCTGTGAAAGTGAAATCAGTGGATGGTTTCCAAGGCGCAGAGGAAGATATAATCATCATGTCGACAGTGAGAAGTAATGGAGCTGGTTCGGTTGGGTTTCTCACTAATCTGCAGCGGACAAATGTGGCTTTAACAAGGGCGAAGTATGTTTTATGGTTGCCAGAATTGCTAAGAATAATCTGCTAACTCCAGTTCTTGTCAGTACTGATACAAATGATCTGTGTTTTTCCTTTTCTTTTGCAGGCATTGCTTGTGGATTGTTGGAAATGTAACTACTTTGGCCCAAAGCAGGTCCGTTTGGCAGAAGATAGTAAAAGATGCAATTGCTCGAGGGTGCCTTTTTGACGCTAGTGACAACAAAGATCTTTCTAATGCACTAGTAAATGCTATCACTGAGCTTGATGACTACAACAATTTGGCAAGAATGGACTCCCTTCACATAAGGATGCCAATGTATCAGGTATTGCAAAAATAGTTCCTCGAAATCATGTTGTCGTACTGTTATTATCTGTTTTTCCTCATTTTGTTTGCAGAGGCCTCAATGGAGATACCGTTGACGTAAGATTTCCATATTCTCATGCGTCATGTTTCTGTCACCAGGACACTACTGAAGGGAAGAAAATTGTAGGTACAATGTTGCTGACATTGGGGTGCACCTATTTTGTTCAACAATATGAACTTGATGGATTCTGTTTTTTCTTCTATTATTAATATATTTTAAACCAATAGGGGCTACTCCTCCTGTAGTATCTTCAAAAAAAAAAGAGCTCAATGGATGAACAGATGTTGCACAAGCTCACTCTTCTTTTATTCTTTTACTCGATACTCGCTAGTTATTGCCATATAAATTGTCTTTTAACGTTATAGTTATTATTAGGTTACTAAAATTATACTTTTTGCCCATCACAATCACATGGACTTGCCATAGAAACAACTATTAACAAGAGTATATATAAGACTGTAAACGTGAAGTAACTTTTTTTTTTCTTTTTTTGTAGAAAAAACCTAAATATTCCATATGAGAAGTGAGGAGCTCCGAAGGTGATGGCTTCACAATTTGAATAGGCATCATGCCTTTGTTACCCAGATCGAATGATTGTTGGTTGAGGTGATGCTAGAGAAAACTATATCTTGTTAAACTGCCTGAACTCGTTGGGCACTAGTTGCCTGAACTCGCCTTTTATGCTGTATTTGTATTGGTCATATTATGACTGTTTGCCACCGTGACAACATTTAGAAATTTGAGTGCTGTTTTGGCAAGTTAACTATCATGTGGTTCGTTGTGGTGCAAGGCTTGACAATGCAATTCGTCTGCCATTATTTTTTTTGAAAGATCCTGTTGTTATCCGGCTTGCATGAGGCGCGCTGATGACAGCTTTCACCTGACTAGCAGACTGCTAGTGCTAGGTGGTAAAACAAACGAACACACACACACACAATCAGTTAGAAGATCCAATTTGCTGGCCGTCGGATTATCAATTCGATAATGATCTGCCACGGGAGTCCGTCCCGTGACTCCTATCCCGGACGCGGCTGTGCAGGAGCGGGCCCTATCTCTCTCATAAAAAAAAACAAATCTCCACTCGCTCATCCGTTTATCCGCCCGACACCCGAAGCACCGTGGCCACTCATCCGTCCGCCCCCTTCCCCCATCGCTCGCTCGTTAGGCTGCCGCACCGTGCCCTTCCCTCTATCGTTAGCCGCGCCGCGCGCCCGTCTCAGTCACCTGTGCTGCATGCTCCCTCGCTGCCTGTCAGTCCCCATCGCCGTTGCGCGCCGCTGACCCTACCATGGCCACTGGGGCGCACTTGCTGTCGCGCCTCAAATCTTCCTCAGCCCAGCTAAGGGCACCCACGAGTGCGGCCAGTGCTGGTGGTGCTCGCACGCCGCGGCTCACCACCGGCTCCCACCGCGCGGCCGGAATCGACCAGACCAGCCTTCACCTCCTCTATGTTGCATTTGTATGTTTCATCCCCTATGTTGCATATGTATGTTTTAAGTGTTTCAGACGTTTCATGATGTATGTTGCAATTGTTTCATCTTGACGTTGCAAAAGTAGATCGAGGGATGTTGCACATGTTGCCAGTGTTTCAGAGGCATGTTGCAAGCGTTGGTTCAAAATGTTTCATCTGCTTCCAGACGTATGTTACAATCATTTTTGATCTGGATGTGCATATGTTTCACACATATGTTGCAACAGTATGTTTCAGCTGTTTCAGTCTTATGTTGTAGCAAGTGGTTTCATGTTGCAAGTTGCAAGTGTTTTATTTGGATATTTCATGTGTTTCATACACAAAATGCGAGTGCATGTTCCAAATATTTCATCTGCTTTCAGTCTTATGTAGCATTCATGTTGCAAGTGTTTTATGTTGTTCGACTAGGGGCAAGTCGGGGACCGGCGAACACGGCGCGTGGCGTGCTTGGGTGGGGGGGTGGGGGGGGGCTGGGGCTGGTGGACGGGGCTGCTGCGGGTCAGGGCGTGATGGGGGCGTGCTCCCTCGGCCGCTGACCACGGCTCCTGAGTGTCGCCCGCGGGGAGAGTCGAAGAGATGAGGGGGGGTGAGGGGAAGGACCGGCGGGCATAGAGACAGGAGCGGAGTGCACTTGTGAGGTGGGCGAAGGCGGACGGGGGCGGGCTACGCGAGCGTCCGCGCGCTAGCCACGCCCTTATCAATTTCATCTAGCCATCGATTTGTTAGCCTATGTCCTCATTCTCGCAGGTGACACACAGTTCACACCATCTCCTCACCTTATTTATGAACTTTTATCATATAGCCGACGGTCGGCTATATTATTAGCCTTGCTCTAAGCTGACCTTGCAGCACCTGAAGCTTCGAGTGTCCAAACAATCTTGTCATCTTCAGGGTCTTCTGCCATTATCACTGCCTCTCTTGATTGATTGCGAGTTCGTGACGATGGGCAAATGCTGTAGGCCTGTAGCCCTTCAGGATTTTATCTGGTACTAGAGCGCAGTGCTGTAGCACCCACCCCTGTGCTTTCAGCTAGCTTGATGTTCCAAATACTCCTATCTACGGATTTTCTTGATCATGCGGCAGCAGTCAGTTTCATCAGGCCATAGCAAGGGCCGCCTCAAAATGTAAATTATTTTTTTTCACGAGCGTGCCTTATCATAATTTTTTCATTAAGATTTTAAGAGAAAAGTCTCAAAATATAAAATCTTCCGTAAACGAGGGATTTACGCGTGGTTGGCCGTTCGGTAAAGGTGCCTACTGCACTATGCTCGGCTCGCTGCAGCCATGGGGAAGTGCAATGGTTTTTCTAGAGCAACGAAGCGCTTGATACCCATTACTACTGCCCTGTCCATTATCAACCAAACAAAACGAGCCCAACGGCCTCATGCTACCATTTGCATCATCGCCTCCCGTCCCTCCTCCTACCTTGTTCATCATCTAGTAGGCTGAGTTGCTATACCTCCAAAGAGCAAAAGTGAGGAGGAAGACGAGTGATGGTAAGTGCTCGGGGAGGAAGAAGCGGCCAAGGGAAGGGAAGGGGACGGGTTTGAGGATGTGGTCAAGTACTGGGCGTCGGCGTGGGTGAAGAACAACGGCAAGTTTGCTCTCAGCTACCTTGATGAGCAGGTGCTCTCTTGGTCTCTCAGGGAGGACCTCTTGCGGAACAAGGTGTCCATTTCTTTATTGCCTTGCACGGTTGCACCTTCATTTTTCTGTACCTCTCGACTCTGGTCCTCTGCTGCAGAGACTCGTATCTATGCATGGACAATGAGCTCACACTTTGATTTTCGACAGATACTTTTAGCAGCTTACTTATACTCTCAACTCTCATGCTTTAACATTTATCGGTTGCTTTGGAACAGTCTACTGAACGTGGCCACCAGCAACCGTTTGTTGAAACGTACTAAAACAGATCAATATTCAATCCATGGGGTTTCGAGTGGTTCTTTTGATCCAAATCCACCGAATCAAAATTCAAAAGCCTAGATTTGTTTTATATGCTATACTGTACTGTTCAATTTTTTCCCTTCCATTTTGCTGATGGGCTGTATCAGTATGGGCCGGGACAACAATATTGCATCCTTGTTGCATAGCATATATTAAGCAGTTCAAGTATTGGCTTGCTGCAGTGCTGCGCAAAATTTCCAATTTGACTTGCAAAACAAAACTGTAGAACATAATTTGTTAATAATGACCGCTGCAATTCTAGACTTTAGAGAGGAAACCAATGTGATTAGCAAATGACAAGAATACCCCTATGAAAAGCTACTCGTAACTGACGTAGTGCCGTCTACTGTTGAAATGTAGCACAAGCAACACAATCCCCATCTAGGTGGCTATGCCGGATACGGTGGATTTTTTTTGCCTGCGAGGTGCTAGAGTTTTTGTTTTGGCTGTGGGTGGGCAGAGGCTGGAACTTTGTTTCATTATTATCTAAAAATAGGTGGGTACAGTGGGCAGAATTTTTTTATAGGCGATGGATTTGATGGGTGAGTACCACATGAGCTAAAACCTATGACTGCTAGTTGGACTGCTAGCTATAGTGTGCATTCTTTTTTGGCATATTATTTGAACTCAAGGATTGCAGTTTTGTGAGATGGTAGGAGTAGACCCTAAGTAATTTTATATTTTTTAAAAAAAATAAGAAAACAAGACCAAAGTACTGAATATTTTTATTTGTCAATATTTTGTTGTACACGTTTTGTAATATAAATGTGGTCATCTTTGTTAACTATAATATTGTACATAAACAGCTCCCAACTGTACGGAAAACAACATAAATTCTTACGAGATATAGCTACTGCAACAATCGAGAAACTTTATCCCCTTTTATATGTGGATCCTACATTTCAATGAGTAAAAACTCTATTTTCTCTGCCTCTTTTCCCTCGGTTGCGCAACAATAGCTACCGACGCAGGGGACAGTCTATGGTCATCTTCTCCTCTTCGGCCACTTCCTCCCTCTGCTCCATCGCCTCTTCCTCCACCGCGCTTGGTGATGGTAATGGAAGCACCCCTGCCCTCACGGACGGAGAGTGAGGCGAAGGTGGGGACTTGTGGCCCCACGTGGAGGAGCGGTGGCGCCCGTCAAGGTTCTTTTTTGCGGCAAGCGCAATGAGTCGTAAGCCAAGGAGGGTGTTCTGTTTGTTTGAGGGATAGTATTGAGAGGAGGATACAGGAGAATGATAAAATGAATTTGCATGGAGGGATTTTTTACCTCAGTCCTTTATATGACATGTTTTAAAGAAAGGGGACTAACTTTTACGAAAATTGTACGTATATACAGCCTGTTCGCTTGGTCGTATTTGGCTTATAAGCCATGACTTATCAGCCAACGAACAATATTTTTTCTCTCATACCAAATCAGCCAACAGTACTTTCAGCCATGGCTTATTGTTGGATATATTATGGACTTGGCCCGTATAACATTTAATAAATCAAATAAAACTCTATGGTACGTAACATTAAGCGTTGTATGGTTTAACACCATATGGGATTTTGACTGAACATTTACTCAGCTTATATGGTTGAAAATTATTCATCTTAATTGAGAAGCTGAGAAAGGACAAAGAGGTGCCACACGC